TAACTGATGTTGTCTTTGACTAAAATTTAGACTGGTTTGATGTTCTGAAACACCAAAAAGAAATGGAAAGTAAGTGAAGAAAGGTTTGGAGGGGGAATCATGTAGAAGCTTTTGTGATTTACAGACAACCCCTGGATTGTTGCTCCTCATTTTCACCAATTCATTTACTCTGGACTTCTGATTTGCTGACCAACATTCTTCTAGTGTATTCAGCTTTAATTTAACTTAAAAGAAATTTAAGTTACTTTTTATTTACACACTAAAGATCTTCCAGTTAATATTAGATGTATTATGCCTCATTTGAGTCATGTGACTCAGTTAGTAACTGGTTTCTTACTTTTTCTTTGAGAGTCCAGGTTCATTACTGAGGTCTGGAGGATAATCTTTGGAGACGGCCGTCTTCACAGACTGACAGTTAGATCTTGGACGTTTTTCTCTCCGGTTCAGAAGATCTTCCATCTTCTGGACGACAGTCAGTCTGAGAGAGACGTGTTCAGAGGATCAGAGGAACCTGATTCCAGCAGGTAACATGTGGGTTTGAATTGTTCTCTCCTTCACTTCTTCATGACCTTCTGATGCCTGATGGCTCATCTCTTCAAAACCTCCTGAAAACCTGAGTCCATGAAGGAAATTAGAGGTAAAACAGTTTAAAAAACAACAACATTTTAACTGAAGTCAGATGTAATGAATGAAGCAGTGAGCATGTTCTGTCACATTGTGATGTGTTGGTCCTGAACAGTAACTTCATCATATGTTGGAGTGACTCCTGTTGGAGGTTTCAGTTACAGAAGCGGTTCTGAAACCTTTCAGGTCCAGACCTGCTTGAGAGGAAGATGGTCTGCCAGTCCTCCTGCTTGTCTGAGTCTGAACAAGATCACCAAGATGAATCAGTAAAAGATGTAACATTTTAACATCAATCTGAACATCAGCATCACCTGAAGAGCAACTTACCAGCAGCATTTCTCATGGTAACATACAGCAACATAACTACCTAATAACAGTAGCATGACTCCACAAAACTTGGGACACTAACTGGACCTGATGACCCAGAACCAACTGCCCTTTAGATAGGAAACTTCAGCAGGTCAATCTAAAATCTTTACTTTGTGTGATCTGAAAGGCAGAAGACGCTGTTTTCACACATACTGGTTTCAGTCTCAGTAAAAGGGTTCAGCAGTCATAGTTTGAGGTCTGAAATCCAAATGTTGGGTCAGAGAGTAGGAAGAAGACCGCTCTAGAACCATCCTTCCAACCAGAAGGATTTCTCTAATTAGAAGGATTAGAACTATTCCTAATTACTGCTGTGATCTGTCCTCCTGTTCCTGTTCCCAGTGGTTCAGTCTGTCTGACAGGAACCGGAAACACTGACTGTGAAACACCGACTGTGAAACACTGACTGTGAAACTGACTGTGAGCTCACAGCTAAAGAATCAGGACAAACGGGTCAGTCCAAGATTCCCACAGAGAACAACTTAATTAATTTTCTGCTTCCCTGTCTGTCAGGGAAGCAGACAGAAAGGAGGAACCGGAAACACTGACTGTGAAACACTGACTGCTTTGTTTTGATCTGCACTGAGAGGCTCTAAGTTCATTTGAACTACCTGCACTAACACAGATATTTAACCCCAATTAGAAAATAAAACACTTCTCCAAAAAAATACACACAAGTATTTTGATCATCTGTGTATATAGATGACCACACTTGTGGTCATTTCTCTGCAGCAGGTTTAGACTGAAGAGAATAAAATAACATTTATTTTATTCAGTAAAATGAATATTTGAAATATCACTCTAAATGCGAAATATATTAATAGGTTTACTAGTAGGTGTTTCTAAACAGTTGCAGAAATTCAATTCAACCAATACAGTAGCAGATATTACTAATTTTCTAATGAACAAATGTTTTAAAAAATGAGTAAGGCTCTGAAATAGAATAATGGTTATAGTGGTGAAGATGTTTTCTTGATATGTAAGAACTGTGGCTAAATGTCTGACAATTGAGTGTAAAATATGGACTCTAGAGGCATTTTGTTGATTTACATGTTTACTCAATTATATAAATCTAAATAAAAGCAGAAAATTAGATATCAGCAGCATAAATCAAGGTGATTTTGTTATGGCTAAGACATTTTATATGTGACACACAGATACTTCAGACTCGGGTCTGGCTACACACCCAACCCTGCAGGACAAGTTTTCCACAGGTCCATCAGTTATGATTAAAAATCTGATTCAAAAAGTTAGAAAAAGGAGAATAAAATTACCAATGATGCATTCAAAAGAACTTTGTTCTCATAACAGGAACTAAGAATCTGACAGGAGCCACAGGCACATGAAGCCAGGAGTTTGGTTCTGAAGGAGAACCAAACTGAGTTCTGGTTCCCTCCACAAAGAGAAAACCCAGAGAAAGGAACACAAGGATAAGTCAACACTCACCCTGATCCAGTTTCTCTTCTCTTCTGGAACTAAATAGAATCTGAGCCTGTTTCACCTGATCTGATACCTGACTCACCTGAGGCTCCGCCCCATCAAGATGATTTCAAACTTTCATATCTTCTTTCCTTTGTGTTGACGGTTGAGCTATGAAACACTGATGTCATATTTGATTGATATTTAACTGATTTCTCTCAATTTTGAGCTTATTTTCAGTCAGCATATTGTTGCATGAAGGAGTTTAGTTCTCCATAAACCAGGAAACTGATCAGCAGAAAATACTGCAAGATCTGATCGCTTTAGTTCAGCTGTAATATTTCTGTCTTTATTTCTACAGCATTTAACCTTTAGCTGCATTTCTAGACGGATCATTTTCTACCTGAGATCATTTTTTTTTCGTTTCAAACCAAACTGGATGAAGATTCCAGTCAGAACTCTGGGTCCAGTAACGTTCTGGTAAAACAGGCTTGATCAGAATTGTGTGGATCTGGATGTAGTGTGGTTTTGTCGAGTCTTATTTAAGGGGATTTCTTCTCCAAAGTGTCTCTAAGTGTCTCACTGAAATGTTCCAGAGCCTCCAGCAGCTCAGCGACGATCTGTGTTGGTTGGAGACGTGATGTGGAGGTGACTGCTGCAGGTCATCATCCACCTCCAAGCTGGATGCCCTACAATGGAGCAGGGGCCACAAAGCAAAGCCAGAAAGCAAAACATGTTGCTTTGCAGGAATAAAGCAACATGTTGGTTTTCCTGAATCTTCTCCACCTTAAAGCTGTTTCAGAGGAAATCTGAGGGAAAGTGGAGCTGAAGACTTCAGGAGGTTTTAAAGCTTCATGTTTGCCTCTATGTGTCCCTACATGAAGCTGCTGCCCTCCCTCTGTCCCCTGCAGCAGCGCCACCTGCTGTCCAAACCAACTAACTGCACCCATCAACCTTTCCTATCTGGTTCAGTTACTCTGGAAAGCATCGTGTGTTGCTGCTCTGCTGGAGTCAGACAGGAGTCATGGTGGAAAGTTCAGATTTCTACTGAAAGGAACTAAAAGATCCTCTGAACTGAAATCAGCCAGGAAATCATTCAGGAATCTGTGACCAACCTTAACACTGACCTCCCAGACGCCCCCTGGAGGACCTTCTCCTCTATTACTGCTTCACTAAGAGGAGAGAACCAGTAATGGACCCGACTCTGATCTTTGGCTCCAGATCAGAACTGGATAATAACTGGTTCCATTTACTTGAGTGACTTTTTGGGGAAAAATACTTTTAGGAGTATTTTTACTGTGCTGCACTTTTTACTTTAATTCATTGGTTCTCTACCTCCAGGCCACACAGACCAGATGTAGTTTGATAAGAGGTCTGAGTGAATCCATGGACCTTCATTCTGCTGCCAGCCTGAAGGAGTCAACTGACCTCTGACCTCTGCTCTCCCTTGAGGAAGCCCAGGGCCGAAGGCTGGACCAGAGCTTCCAGAGACCCCAGTCTGATGATTCACAGCTTCTCCAGTGATGATGAGGATCAGACCTTCATCATCCTCTAGAAGATGAAGAGACAATTTCTACCAGGGATGAAAGAAGACCCGTTGTTCTGAGACCTGGACCAAGACCAAATGTTTAGAACCGTGATAAATATTTCAGAACATCACTTTCTGTTCACCACAAAATGCAAAAGTTAAGGAAAGACGGTTAATTACTCAACCAAAACTGCTTGGTATTAAACTAAGAACCACCATAATAAAACTACTAAGGTTACTAAGTGCAGCCATGCAATGATGCACATTTTCTAAAATTTAATCTGCATAACAAAGTACAAATAATCCATGCATTTTTACTCATTGCTTGCATTTTGGAATGCAAGCAATGAGAATTCAGAAATCTTCTTGAATTTTGTCCATAATGAGTTTTCCTTTAGCAGTACAAGGGTAAATTTTAATAATTAAAGCATTTGCGTTCTACTGTTGTATAGTGTAGTCTTACAGATGAAAAGTATCCCACTTGAACATGATAATCACAATTTAAAAAAATCTAACTTGTCCAGTTTCAAAGGAAAGCAACTGAACATTAACATTATAAAATATGTCAAAGCAATGCGCAGTGCACCAATTCAAGGAGATTCAAAAACTGTGGTGAATGTCAGGAGAGGCTAACTGATGAAAAGTAGTCATCCAGGAATTCAACATCTAAAGCTCTGCAGGCATCAGTGCCTCAGTTGAGTAAAGTTATGCTCAATCTCGCTTGAGTTTTGCAGAATGGTCAAATGGCCCTAAAAATGCTGCTTTTTGGAGTGTCCTTTTTCCTAATACTGGACTTAAATCTGAAAGAGATAGACACTGAGCAGTCTATTCATGCTAAATGGAACAATTCTGCAGAGCATAGTGGGCAAAAATTCCTCCACATTGATGTTAAACAGTGATTACTAGTTACTAGGAACATTTGATGGTTGCTTTGACAACTAAAGAAGAAGCAATCGATTATTGATATTTAGGTGGTAATGACTTTTTTCCAAGAGACAGCGTGGCTTGGATCCAACATTTGTTTAATTATGTTTTATTACCCGAAACAGAGAAATTACTCGAATAAAAAGCTTTAATTGCTAATGTCTGCTTACTTTTTTCTTTCTTGTTCCAAAGTGAAAACTGTGACAGAACACACTCCAAGCAGAACAAGTCCATAATTTCAGCCAGGAGTTTTGCAGCTGCTCAGACCTTTATACTGTAACAATATTCTAAAGCCAATCAATTTAATTTGACTCTTACACACATCACATTCCAACTTTTAAAGATTTATTCAGTGAAATCTACACATTAAAAAATCTGATATAAAACACACTTTATTCAAAATATCTTTTCAACAAACATGAAAACAGTTTAATAAAGTTATAGAAGTAAAGGAATGAATTTATAAATATAATGCAATTCACTACATTACAAAGTAGTGTACATAAGTTCTAATGCAACATTTTTTAGATCTTGAAACAAGATTAATCTTAATCAGAAAGAAATGCTAACTTTACTCTGAGACGAGACAAGCTGAAGACAAAAAACACTGTATTTGTAAAGACAAAGAATGGAAAGTAATATGTTCACTGGTATATTGAGATAAAGTCCATCAGGCGGAAAAAGTAATTTGTTCAGCTTATATTGGATTTCCACCAAACTTCTTTCTTACAAGTAGAAATTAGGTGAATCATTACAAAGTTGAACCACAAAGTCGGTTCAATAATTACTCAGCTATTATAAAAACTCATTACTATGAACTAGTAATGACATTATTTAGTAATTACATATATACATTGGTCAGATTGTACAAATATTACATTTGACCAAAGGTCAAAGACACAGAAAAAATTTATGTTATTCCATTTCCTTAAGGATGATTTAATGTTTCAAGTGCTGAACTAGGCTTTGAAGAAATTTAATTAGATCCCTCAATTTAAGAGGGTTTAGAATCTCAAAAACATTGATACATTAAAGCTGTCAGCAATACATGTTGAAGTTCATCTTTGTGTGATGTGGTAGAGACTCCTTGAAAACCAGAAATTTATATATCTTTCTTGTTATCCTTAGTGGGTGAGTTGATACTAGAAACTACAAAAAGAAAAGTTCAAAAGAATTAACCTCGATCATTTACCAAATACTTAGCAAGAAACAATCTGACAATATTTAAAACCTTTTTTTTTTATTTTTTTTAGCTATTTCAATTTTTATGCTCCCTTCTCACAAACCTTTCCCTTTTAGATTGTGTTCAGTCTGAGAGGGGAATCAGATAAAATTCTTACATTATACCCTAATGGCCAGGTTCATTAGTGAAGACAATAAGTTAATCTGTGGACCAATCACTGATCTCAGACAGACAACTGGAGAATGGAGATGCTGGTCTGTCCTTGTTGTCATCCACACAAACAGTCATCACCCAGACTTCAGTCATTCTGAGACAAAAAACACAATGAATCTGTTAACATGTAATCAGCTTCAGCAAGATAAGCCCTGCCTTGTGTGAAAAGAAGGATGAAGACTGCCTGAGTTAAACTATGTCACCTACCAGAGAGCCAACCTTTCCTCATGGTTAAAGCATAATCAAAACAGTCTCACTGTTTAGGTGGAATCATTTCTATCCTCATGTTCATTGGCACCTCTAAATAGTTTTTAATCTACAGCCCTGACATCAATTAGAAGATGTTCTCTTACCCAGACGATAAAAGATGATTTTCAGGACAGGAGAGGATTTCTGAGTACCCAGAGTCATCACTCAGAGAAGCAGGGCTGGAACAAGCTGAACCGATGAGATAGCTCCTGCAGACACAAGCATATGTGCACTGAAGACCAATACTGACTCACACATTAAAGGCTGAAAACAAACTGCTGCAGCTGTTAAAATGTTTAATGTTTGCCACTGTCTTATTAGAATAGTCACTAACAGTTTATAGCACAAGTATTCAAATAAACATTTTCAAATTTCCTTGACTATATTTTATGGTGACTCCTCGCCATAAAATATATGTTATTTAACCAAAATGTTGTGTTACAAACACAAAGCAGAGAATAACTATGATGTGAAGAGAAAACCCATATCTGTTCATTTTTATTAATAAAAGTTTGAGAAGTTTGGCAATCTTCCATCCCATTTTTTAAATTATTATTTCATATGGTGTCATATAAATAATATGAGACCCTTCCAGGGGATTCTTAGAGACAGGAAGAAGATATTTACATATTACTTATTCACTAAACTGTTATCTTAAGGCATCTTCCAAGAAAAGGAAATCCATGACATTCTTGTTTTGTTTTTTTACTGGGGTTTGTAGTTTGTCTTATTTGTTTTCTGTTTTCCTTCGTTATGATTAGATCAGCAATTCGCTCTCATTTATTCTCCCTGTATTTAAATTTTTCCTTCACCTTCCTGCAGGACTACCTGAGACATGCAACCAGGGATTACAAAAAGTGATTTAAGTCATAGCAGATTTTTTTGTTTATTTGACATAGACACATGACAAAAATTCCACCATTTTGTTCACAACCAGGCGTCCGCCTGTCGAGCTCAACAGGCCCTGCTCAAACTATTTTGGCAGACTGTGTGCAAAGTGCTGTCTGATTGGTCAGAAGTGGGTTTGTCTTGTTTTATGCGGAAATGCTCTCAGACAGCAATATTTTTGTAACACCAGAAGACATGAATACTTTTGTCTTTTGAACATTTATATGATCCTTCACTTAACAACTTTTATAAAAATAGGATTCGTGAATATTTACTAAATCTTGAATGGATGGAAACGGAGGAGGTATCATAAATTAGAGACTTTTTTTAACAATGTGTGTGGGAATACAAATTTTCACAAACCATGTGTCTGTGCATCGACTGATCAGCTTTGAATAAAGTTTGTTGGGGGTTGAACTCCAACTTGGAATGTATTTTCACAATTTGGAAACTGTTGTTCACAGGTATCCTTCATTCAGCTGTCAACACACAAGTGTTGACAGCTGAATGTCTTACAGAAAAAGTAAGACAACTTCTACCCCCTTCATTAAAATGTTGTCTGGTATTTTAACTTTTTCAATGTTTATCTGTCCTGAAGTCAGTAGTGTCAACTAAAATGTCTCACTACAGTTTTGTCGTTTCATGTCTATTACATTCCAGTTGATTACAGTGATGACTCAAACAGGAACATTTGGTCACCAAGTCTAAAAAAAGGGTTAAAACAATAGGATGGTGTCCATTTCCAGTATCAAATCACATGAGAGTTCTTACTCTGGCTGTGGAGGTCCGGGTTCTTTGGTGACCTCTTGATCTTCATCATTGTACTGGTGATTCCCGAACAGCCATTGTAACACTAAAATGTTTCTGTTTTTCACTTCCTCAACAGAAACATCCATTTTACGGCTTTGGCAAAGTCTGTAAACAAAGTAAAAAACAGTTTCCATGTGATTTAGTTGTTCTGATTTGTTAAAGGAGAAAATTTATTCACACCACACAAAGATTTATAGAGCCTGATATCAGCAGATAATGAGAAGACAATGAAATCCTCCCACACTGTCCCATAAACAGACATTCAGATGTTTCTGGTTCATTCTGCTTGGTGTTTTCTCATTAGAACGATTGTGTCACTGAAAAGGCCGTGGTTTTCAGCTTTAATTCTAGAGGACATTGAGTGAACACTACAGGAAAACATCTTCAGTTTTACAATCTCACCTCATGTGTCTTATGGGATTTATCAAACACACTAATGTCTTTGACTATAATGAGAAGTTAATCATTCAGCAACAATGAAAGACACTTAAACAAATCAGAAGATTCACAGTAGATTAGGCTCTCTTACTTGCTGAGATCCGACTCATTCCTGAACCAAAGAGGCTCCTTCTTGGATTTGTTGCTCTTCATGGTCAGAAGGCTGGAAACTGGAGACTCTGGTCTGCATGGCAAGTTTCAACAAATACAAAGATCTTATCTTTCTTAGAAATCAGAAAAGCATTTTCTGGAACAAAATCCTAAGATCTGATCTTCCTAAAGGCCATTTGATTTTTATATAACAATATTAAAGTTTAAATGGTTTCTGAAATAGTAAGGAAGCTCAGTCATTAATTGTTGTTTTGAGATGAAAATGACTTCAGGCAATTATCTGTCTGGATATTCAGTTCTGGAACCTGTACTATCTACAGTCAAAAAATTAACTCTAAATAAATGGAACTATGCCCAAATTAATTGATATCTATGATTTGGTATTTCAAACATAACACACTTTAATAAGTTTAACTTACTTTTTTAACTTGTTTTTTTAATGCTGAGTAAAGTCAACAACCCCGTGTTAAACAATTCACTGAAATAATTAACAATGAAGATAAATCCTACCCACAATCCCTCACTGAAGCCACATGACAAATAGCTAAACAGTAGAATAATAGGACTGTACTTCCCTCTCCCCTCACACACTCCCTTACTCTAGCAAGAATTAGACAGATTTGATCTTAAATAAGTGTGGGGCAAAACTAAGAACTTCTTTATGAAATATAATGTAAATGAACGTCATCTGTCTAAACATAAGCAGTATTAAGCATGAGAAATTTACACTCTTCCATTGTCTCATAAAACATGGCTTGATACGAAATATGAAGTGTTTTCCTACCTTTGGTCTGCTGATCCAGGATCTAGAGAAAGATTTTGAAACTCATCCCTGCTCACAGACTGTCTGGGTTCTGAAAGAACCCAGAATCCCCGGTTTTGGACTTCATGCAGTCTACTAAAGAAACAGGATGTGTCAATTTACTTCAGCAGAAAATACGTCAAACACCCAAGTTGAAGGTGCAGTTGGCACCAGAAAGTAGAACCAGTTAAGAAAAGTAAGACAGTATTTTATGTTCTATTCTAATTAGCATTTCAAAGGGCATAAAGATGATCATCAGTAAGTGTCCAGGACCATGTGTGCCACATCTGCATGCTGTTACCTATTAGACTTTTAGTAGGACAATAAAGATTGATGTCTCAACAAAGGCAAAAGCAAAGCCAAGTTCACTTTTCATGAACCTGGCCAAGCAAGCCAGGTTAATGCATGCAATCTATAAAATGTGTTGTCTGACTAATCTTGTGCACATTAAGTTATTATTCCTACCTTCAGCATGAACATTTTTGCATTTTCTCAATTGGATCCCAGGAAACTAATGTAAGTCATTTGTTTATGACTTCAGTGTCCTTTCTTTTTTCCAAGAAAGGACAAAAAGATATACATATAAAAAATGATATGTCAACTGATTACATAACTGAAATCCACAGAAGTGTTGCGCTATAAAATATTTGAGTCGCATTTATTTGTGTCCACTAACTTCTACTCTTTAAGTTAAATACATTTTGTGAGTTTTAGGTGTTGGACCTAAATGTTAGAGTCTGTGAAAGATAAATGTGTGGTATTAAGTTGTGTTAAAGTTTATTAATTTTGTCAAACCTCCAAGAGTTGAATAAGAAGAAAAAGTCAGGAGTGGGAACTGTTTCCCAGAATGTTTATATATTTTTAGATGGATATGTATTACACGACCATCTCAGGATCTCTTCCATCTGACTCTGTGTTATTAAGGCAAATGTTTATTTTATTGTCCTCTTCACATTAAATGTTCTTCAGCAGAATCCATTCTGATCTTTAATAACATTCACTATTTTTACCTTGATATTGTGAATAAATATAATAGAGAAATGTGTGCTCTTTAATTAGGCGAGGACATATTGCGAAATAATTATTTGATTTAAATTGAATCAAGTAAAACTCAATTCAAGATTAATTAACTTGTTGAATCAACTTCATAAACTTTAATTTAACTTAAACTAATACAATTTTCTTGTTGACTTAAATTGCATTTTAAAGGCAGCAGGTGGACTTTGATTTTCAAATGTTTTACAGTGTGCGTCTTGTGAAGAATTGTACTTCATATTGGGCATTATTGAAATGGAAATAGTCATCAGAGAACAAATACAATACTTTTATGCATTTATGAGTAATAAAGTTTCTGTTGTGGTCCCATCCATCAACAACTTAACTTATGAACACTAGAAACATTGCGATAGGGACACCCCGCTTGGTCTTTATTCCAGCAAACCCTTTCTGTTCCATCTAGAACAGTTGAGAGGGACAATGGCCAAGAGGGGACAGTTTCCATAAACACAGAACATGGTTTTCAGAAGCAAAGAAAGAAAAATAGAAAACTCACAAACAAGAGAACAGTGTGTTGCACTTATATTAATTTTGACAGACTGCTTCATGATGAAATGAGATGTTCATATGTATTTCCTACATATGAAATAATTTGTAAGTATGATTTTAATTTTGTCCAAATATCAACACAATGTTTGAAAGTCCAAGTCCTTTCACTCACACATTTACTTCCTGATGAACCTGTGGCTATTCTCTGATGTGACTCCAACGCAGTCCTAAATAATGTGGGCTTGATGATGTGGGGCCACATAAAACAGGCAAGAGTGACTTTACCTGGACCACCCCACAAAGATATGTTTAGGTTTGCTCAGAACCAAAGAAAGCCTGAGTTTACTGTATAACTGCCCACTTGTCAAAAATAACCCCTGGCTGGCACTGAACAATTTGGACTTTTGGTACACCTTCTCTTCCCAGGTATTTCAATTAAATTGATGAGCATTGATTAGAATTTTTAAGAAATAGGTAAACCAGAACCAGGCGTAACATACACAATTATTCAAAAACTGGTTTTGATATTATTCCATCAGAAAAATTCTGTTGTCTGCAAGCTCTTGCCTTGTCTGAAAATTCTTACTCTCGTCACTTACATGCTGTTTGCAAATCCAGTTTCACCCCTGAACTTTGGAAAAATCTGGATAAGGTCACTCACTGCACAAGGGAAGTTTATCTCTGCATAATCTGGTCCATAATTCCTACTCCTACTGAAACAACATATTTTTTATGTCAGGAGACTTGAGCTTTGAACATCTGCTACAGCTGCTGTGAAGATGAAAAATAATACAAACTGAATTAGTGCCATTAACTTTGAGATGTGTCTGAAAGTCTACCTTTTGTCTAGGAATGCAAGCTGAGAACTTAGTGGAGATGAAAGGTTCTTCACTGCTGAAATGCGATGTTGGCAGGCTGTTGAATAGTGAGTTCCAAGCATGTTCCAAAACAAGTTCCTCCAGTGGACACCAATAAATCTAAGAATCAAATACAAATCTATTGCAGTCAGTTTTCTTTATCATAATTATTATTATTATTAATAGATTTGAAAGATTTTTTATATGACTTTCTCTGCAATGTGGGATTTGTTGGCTTGTTCAGTTTAATACCAGAAAATCTTTCAAAAAGGTTAAATACAAAAAATAATTAAAAATAATGTTTTTAATATTTAGAAACAATTACCTGATTATGCTATTACTGACTTGTAAAGGCATATATTTATTCATTGTCTTACCTGTAGAGGCCAGTGCAGAAAATTCCAGTCAGCAAAACAAGTGAGCAGGATGTTATAAAAAAAACAATTCACTGTCAATTAAGGCTTATTTTGGGTTTGACTGACATTAGGAAGCAAAAACACCACATGAAGGTTTACATCAAGAGCACAGGATAGGTGATTTTTACACACGTGTACCTTTCAATCAATCAGTGACAGAAGAGATAAAGACCTGTACTAAAAAGCACCTGACAGTTAAAGAATGGTCAGTATTTGGGAAGAACCCACAGAAACATGGAAAGAACATGCAAAATCTCCTGTGGTACTTTCTATCTGAGTCTTAAGCATCATGTCTTGAAAATGGTCACTAAAATGTCTGGATGGCATCAGTTTGCAAACATCAAACAGCAGCCAGTGTCTTACCTTATGTAAAGTGGGCCACACTTATTAGTTTCAACTGGATAGAAGTTCCTGGTCATAGGCAGGTTGCGCTGGGTTGAAGGTGGATTCTCTTCCATCTTCATTTGATCTTCCTTCCATAACGGACCCTTTCTCTGGATAAGAGACCATCTATAAAGGAAAACCGGTAACATTTACTTTACATTTGTTTGTTGTACAACCTTCTGATTTTCCATACCCTGTCTTTAGATTGCAATTTTATTATTCCCTTAGAGAGTCTACTTGAAGATTTGCTAACTGTTCATGACAATCACAAAGGCCCAGAGAGGCAGGAGGATGGGTTTATGCCGGTGGGTTGATTCCCACAGTCCAAGCTGCTCTGCATGATCAGGTGACCTGATGAGCCAATGAAGCTTCAGACTGCATCACCATGGAGACCCAGTGTCTCCCTGAGCATCAGCATCACTTCAGTGTCTCTCGTCTCCCAGATGGAGAAACAGCTCAGGGTCCATCAGTCGATATCCTGAGTTAAAACTTTCACCAAAGTAAAATGTTGTTTCTGTGGTGCATCTGCATCTTATTTTGAAGGGATACATAACCGCTAACATAGCAACCAGAGTCAGAGAGAGTGAGGTCAGAGGTTGAGAGGAGATGTGAGTTTTAGGTCTGGTTCACGGTTTAAGGATCGTTGGCCAATTTCCCAAACCTCTGTGACCTCAGAGCCGATAAAAGTCCAACAGGTTCGGTCGGTTCGTGGGTCCAGGAGCAACACGGCACCAGAACCGGTTCCACTGAACATCCCGGTTCCAGAACAAGAACCAGTAAAACCCCAACATCCCACAGTGAATTCAGAATAATCACCATGATGTAGGAGCAGCAGTGATAGTTTGTGGATCATTTTAAGCAATAAAAGAAGAAACAAAAAGAAAAGGCGTTTGATAAAAGGAGCAGCTGCTTTATTTGCTGCTCTATGATTTGGAGGTGAGTTATGATTCATCATAGTTAACATTTTAACTGAATAAACATAACCGCATACAGCTATATAAAAATGACTTTTACATATAGTAATAAACATCTTGAGATATCACCTCCGATGTCAACTGTTTGGGATTCCCTCCGTTCTTACGTCATCGTGATTTCTGATTGGCTCCCTGTCACATTCAACAGGCTGTGATAATCGGGCCGAGACCCTGTTGAATATGCCCGATTTTACATCAGGCATATTCAATACATGTAAAACACTACACACTGCAGGATGTTGCAAGACTGTCGTAAAAGAAAAATCGGGGCAAAAAAAAGAAAAAAAAAGGCTTTTGAGGAAACACCAACATGCAGAAGCATTATCTGGCCCCGCCCTCTTTCCCCCCTCCTTGTTGTCCTGAAACCTGTGGCATTTCTCTTACTTTTCATGTGAAGATCCATGTTCATTATTGACTGCAATTTTGGAGGGCGTCTTCTTAGGGCAAATGTATTGGAGGAACGTGGCTTTAATTATATTCTTCAAAGGAAAAGGCATCTTCTAAGCTGTAGTCAAGCTGAGGAAACAAAGAAAAATCTAATTAATTGAAGTTTTGGGCCTTAACGGCGCTCTAAATATTTGTAATAATTTCAGCAGTCTCATACAAATATTAATTTCAGGTGTACTTGTAAAATATCTTATACCAAGACTTGTCAATACGGAAACTTTGAGGATTTGGTTTTCTGTGTTTATTAGTCCCCATGTTGTTGCATCTGCCCCTTTATTGTTTCTTTTTGTCCCTCGTTTCCCCTGAATACCCCTTCTGTATCTATATTCACATGTGTCTGTGTTTCCCCACCGATTTCTTGTCTTTGCTGTCATTAGTCTTGTCTCGTTAATGTTGCCTGTGTTTCACTCAAGTATGGTTCCAGTGCTGCCTGGATTTCGTTCCAACATCACTGCGTATGACATTTACGTCTCGCTCAATCGCCATCTTTAAAGGCCACAGACCCAAACAAACTTTATTCCGTTTTTTTCATTGTGTTATCGTTTATTTAAAACATAATCTTTCATTACATGTATGTTACCTGAAATATTTTAAATATCAAATTTTTCCTTAAAATGTGATTCATTACGTCACCTGTTTACATGCTACTTCAAGTGCTTGAATCAAACGTTTTATGAATGTTTCCCTCATTAAATTATGAAATGAGAGAAAACAGACACTTCCAACTTTTCACATATTTCAACACAAATAGTTCCTGTTCCTCTTCAGAGTGAGCAGCCATGCTGAGCTCCTCTGCTGGGGTTTCCTCCTCAGGCTCTCCAATTTCATACCATTGATAAATTATTTTAAGTAACTTAAAAAATTACAAATATCTGTGAGACAGTCGTTTTGTTGGTAATGTATATGTCTCCACAAGATGGCGCTCACATCCCTACATCTAGAGCTGGACGTTCCAAAGCTCTATTAACGTCATTAAAAGCATAATTTTTCAATATACTGTATGTATATTTTGAAGTTTTTCCTAAAACTTTAAAATATACATGTGAAAGTATATTTTAGTTTGTTGTGAATGTTTAACTTCAGAGAAACACCAACCCCAGCAACTGAACTTAGGAACTGACTATGCAGTTTATAAAAACCTGTTAGAATTATAGCACAGTACATCAAAATCAAATGGGACTGAACTCACTGATACCTAAAAACTCCTGGAAAACATAAAAATAGTGCAAAATATATGTTTCTATTATACTCACTATAATGCAGCACGAAGATATCTTTTGTTTGTCCGTGTCAAGTGACTTGTCACTTTCACTTTCATTTAATCAGGAAATCATATGACTGTCTCTCACTTTGTCTTTCTCTCTCTGTGTTTAGCTATTCTTCTTAGAACCATTTCAGGTATATTTACTAATCCTCTGAAGGTAAAACAAAAACATTGCTGAACTAAGTTTAAAAAAGGAACTAAGAAACAGAAATAAACAAACCACAACCAAACAACTTGGGATACAAAGTTTTTAAATGTCTTGTCAGTTTGATAAATAATCAAATAAAAACACATCTGTTACTCTGCTAAATGATTAGAAGCAGAAAAATCAATTCCTGATGTTTTATCTCCTCGATTGAATACATGTGTAATCTATTTTGCATTTAAAGGCATTTTTTTTATTTTAGCTTTGTTATCTTTATTTGACAACATGAAAGCCAGTTGGACCCAAATGATTCATACTACATTCAGTCATTCACAGACGCATTCTCACCCCGATGTTGGCAAGCCACTGGATCTACTAGTTGATAAGAGGTCTGAGTGAATCCATGGACCTTCATTCTGCTGCCAGCCTGAAGGAGTCAACTGACCTCTGACCTCTGCTCTCCCTTGAGGAAGCCCAGGGCCGAAGGCTGGACCAGAGCTTCCAGAGACCCCAGTCTGATGATTCACAGCTTCTCCAGTGATGATGAGGATCAGACCTTCATCATCCTCCAGAAGATGAAGAGACAATTTCTACCAGGGATGAAAAGAAGACCCGTTGTTCTGAGACCTGGACCAAGACCAAATGTTTAGAACCGTGATAAATATTTCAGAACATCACTTTCTGTTCACCACAAAATGCAAAAGTTAAGGAAAGACGGTTAATTACTCAACCAAAACTGCTTGGTATTAAACTAAGAACCACCATAATAAACTACTAAGGTTACTAAGTGCAGCCATGCAATGATGCACATTTTCTAAAATTTAATCTGCGTGCACGCTGCATAATAAATGTAAAATGCATTTAAGAAAACAGAGAGAAATTTACAAAATATTTTTCTGTATAAGATCATCTGAATGAAAATATTTCATCAGAGTATCTAAGACCAAGTCTGAGGCCAGGACCTGGAAAATAAACAGATATTAAAAACACATCGAACATTAGAGAAGATTTCATAAAGGTCAAGGACAGTTACATTTCTTGACCCGGTTTGTTCAATGAGACCAAGAAAACATCACAATCTAAGACCAAGACCTGGAAAATAAACGGGTCTTGAGCCGACCATACCTGATCCATACCTGATCAATACCTGATCAATACCTGATCCATACCTGGTCAATACCTGATCCATACCTGGTCCATACCTGATCCATACCTGGTCAATACCTGATCCATACCTGGTCAATACCTGATCCATACCTGATCAATACCTGATCAATACCTGGTCCATACCTGATCCATACCTGGTCAATACCTGATCAATATCTGATCCATACCTGGTCCATACCTGATCAATACCTGATCCATACCTGATCCATACCTGATCAATACCTGGTCCATACCTGATCAATACCTGATCCATACCTGATCAATACCTGGTCCATACCTGATCAATACCTGATCCATACCTGATCAATACCTGATCAATACCTGATCCATACCTGATCCATACCTGGTCCATACCTGATCCATACCTGATCAATACCTGGTCCATACCTGATCCATACCTGATCAATACCTGATCAATACCTGATCCATACCTGATCAATACCTGATCCATACCTGATCAATACCTGGTCCATATCTGGTCCATACCTGATCCATACCTGATCAATACCTGATCCATACCTGATCAATACCTGGTCCATACCTGATCAATACCTGATCCATACCTGATCAATACCTGGTCCATACCTGATCAATACCTGATCCATACCTGGTCCATACCTGATCAATACCTAATCCATACCTGATCCATACCTGATCAATACCTGATCCATACCTGATCCATACCTGGTCCATATCTGGTCCATACCTGATCCATACCTGATCAATACCTGATCCATACCTGATCAATACCTGATCCATACGTGATCCATACCTGATCCATACCTGATCAATACCTGATCCATACCTGATCCATACCTGATCAATACCTGATCAATACCTGATCAATACCTGGTCCATACCTGATCCATACCTGATCAATACCTGATCAATACCTGATCAATACCTGATCCATACCTGGTTTCTACTTGTTCTTGTTTCCATGGGAACAGTCGCAGCTGATCGTTCAGGTGATCAGCTGACCTTTGACCTTGAGAACTGGATGGATGAAACTCGGCCCAGTTTCAGGAGGTAGAACCTAGAAACTGGTTCTGATGGTTCTACTGATCCAAAGATCAACAAAACGAAGCTGAGAAAATTGAAATCCCATTTGGTTCTGTGCAGTTTGACCCGGATGGGAAAATGTGACTGATCATCGTCTCCACCAGCAGAAGGTTCAACTTTCTTTATTTCACAGGAACAAACTGAGCCGATCAAATGCTGATCAATATGTCTGAACGCAGAAATAAAAACCTCAGCAACTTTCAGCAGCAACATTTCCAAACTCTGCTGAGGCTCCATCTGGTGGCTGAACAGGAACAGCAGCAGATCCATCATCATCATCACCATCATCATCTGCAACATTATTCAACCTCCAGAACTTAGAAACATTAACAGGATCCAAACTCCACAAACATGGAGCTGGAAGCAGCTCAAAAAGTCCAACTGGGTCATCAACCCAGAACCTGCAGCCCAGATTCAGTTTGAATCCCATTTTCTACCCTGGATTAGCAAGTAGAGGGAAGGTCCAGTATTCACTGCGACATGGAAATGAGCAGAACTCTCAGCACATCCTGTTCATTCTGATGCATAAATCCATGAGAAACAAATGAAACATTTCTAAATCAACCTGTTTTAGAACAATCAGGTTGAGTCTCATATTCTTTATCTATTGCCAGATTTTCTCAAATATAGAAAACTGTGAAACTGATTCATTTCTCTGGTCAAATATCTGACTGTCTGAAGACGAGTAAAAAGCGCTGATGTGTCAGTTTTTCATGTTGGTGTGAGCCGACCTCTGCTGCAGCTTGATGAACGTTCCCACAGCATTCAGGGAACTGCTTCTGGACACTAATGACGTGTCTGGGACGAGTGAAGGACAGAGACAGAGACCAATATGGACACAGAGACAAATAGACCTTTCAAAATAAGAGCTTTCAGCTGCAGTAGATGATTTCCATGAGGAAAATCTTCTGTCTCAGCAACCATTGCAACAAACTTCTGCTGGATCTGAAGCTGGTTCTGTTGGTCCCTCCAGAACCAGCTGTCCCAGTTCTGCTGTTAGCTACCGTTAGCTCTCTAGCTACCTAAACATAGCATCAACAGGGAGAACCAGAAACATCTAATTATGAAACGGCAGCAAAAGGAAGAATAATGATGGAAATCCACCCTGGTAACATGGCATTAAAGGTCAAAGGTCAGGGTTTGCTGGAAAAGGAGGATTAACGTTAGAAACATGAACTCTGAAGTCTGATCTGACAGTTTTGAACGTTCAGGTCGTCTTCACTGGTCTCAGATTTGGACCTTTGGAGCTTTTTCCTCGCTGACTTTTCTCCCAGAACCGTTTGGATCTCCACCAGCGCTGGGCTGAGAAGCAGCTGCTTTTCTGCTGCTCCGCTTCTAAAACCACAAACATACAGAGAGGAGAAGTCAGGGTTCCTGGAACATTTTACTGAGATGGCACCGACATTTGACTAAAACTCTCAGCAAAGGACTTTCACCCTGGACTTTCAAGTTATAAATTGAATTATAATTCAATTTATAACTTGAATTATAAATTCAAGTTATAATAAAATAATCCAGGACAAAAGAGTTGAGAAGCAGCCAGATCTTCACCAACCTCAGACTGGATCGTCCCTGATCCACTCCGGTCCTCTGGTCTGCTGCTGTGAGTCTTCTCATGTTGTTTTAGATAACGGGACAGCTTGAAAGTCTTCCCACACTGCCCACAGCTGTGGGGTTTCTCCTCAGAGTGGGTCTTCTGGTGTTGTCTGAGCCGCTCAGTTCGGTGGAAGACTTTCCCACACTGCTCACATCTGTACGGTTTATCTCCAGTGTGGATGTGGTGATGAGCCACTAAGGATGTCTTCCGAATGAAGAGTTTCCCGCAGAGACCACAGCAGTATGGTGTTGCTCCCCTGTGGATGACCTGAAGTGTTTTCAGCTGGTGCCACTGAGTGAAGGTTCTCCCACATGTATCACAGGAGAACGTTCTGTCGGTGTGGAGGAAGCTGTGTCTCTTTAAGTTCCCTTCCTGGCTGAATGATTTTCCACACTCCCCACACCAAAATGATTTAACTCCAGTGTGAACCCTCTGATGTCTGCTGAGATTTGCTTTGGTGTGGAAAGCCTTCCCACACTGTTGGCAGACGAAGCATCTCCCCTGAATATGAAAGCTCTGATGGGCTTTTAACTTAGATTTTGTTGTGAAACACTTTCCACATTCTTCACAGTTGTGGGGTTTAACTGCAGCGTGGACAAGCTGATGGGTTCTGAGGTCAGTCTTACGAATGAAACCTTTTCCACACTCATCGCAGACAAATGGCCTCTCAGCCAGGTGGAGGAGGAGATGTTTCTTTAAGGAGGTGCTGACTATGAAACATTTTCCACACTGGTCACAGCTGTAGGGGTTTAATCCACTGTGGACCATCTGGTGGTCTCCAAAATGAAGACGATTTGCAAAGGTTTTCCCACACTCGTTGCAAGAGTATCGTCGTGGTTTAGTGTGTCGGCGTTTATGGGCATTCAGGTTTAAAGAATTTCTAAAAGTCTTTCCACACTGATCACAGGTGAACTGTTTCTCTGGCTCTCCTGAGTGGGTTTGCTTGTGGAAATAAATGCTTGATTTATGGCTGAACGTCTTTCCACACTGGTCACAACTAAAAGGTCTTTCTCCAGTGTGGACAACACTGTGGGCTTTGACGTGTTTTTCTGTGCGGAAGCTTTTTCCACAGTCATGACAGCT